TTTCTTTTTTCAACATTTTCTTGGCTTGTAAGGCCGAAACCAGTTGGAGAAGGGGTTTGGTCGTTATTTCGAGGAAAGAAAATTGTTCTTCTCCTGGTTTTTGAAAAGACACTTCCCTTTCTCTACAATGAATGGTCGCATAATTATATCCTAACCAATCCATGCCCAAAATCATATCAAAGTCCTTCATATCTATCATATACAAATTAGCTTCTAAGGTTTTTTCCTCAATATCGAATTTCACTGACTTGGCTAACTTGTCTGTGTTCAATGTCCTGCCTGAGGGGAGGCTGACTTCTAGTGTACTCTTTGACTTATTACAAGTAATACTAGATTTAGCAATGAAATTCGTTGATACAAAAGAGTGAGTAGCTCCTGAATCAAACAGTATATAAGCAGGTGTATTGGCTACCAGTAAAATACCTGTTATTACATTTGAGTTCCCCTCTGCATCTTTTGAGTCAATGTCAAAACTCGTGCTTTCCCTTTCTTGTTCTGATCATTGTTATCATCCTTCCTCTAAGCAAATGTGGGACAATCCCCAGCAATATGTCCTGATTTGCCACATCAAAAATATGCATTATTCCCATACAAGCATTCACCACGATGAGGCTTACCACACTTAGGGCATGGCGCTACTACAGCTACCATGGCCTTACTGGCGCTAGATCCGATATTAACTTTCTTATTTTGCCATTTGCCCCTTCCTTTGTCTTGACCATTCCACTTTCTCTTTCCAATTTGTCCTTTATCCTGTTGGTTGTACAATTGACGATGTTGCTCTGCATTAGCCTTTTGATACCAGATAGCGTGAGCTCGTTCCAGCATCTCATGGTACGACGTGAAGCAATGTGACATAAGGATCATACTTAGGTCTGGGTTTAACCCTTGCTCAAACCTTCGAGTTTTCTTAATTTTCGTGCCAACCAGATATGGAGCATACCTTGAAAGTTGATCGAACTTTCGCTCGTAATCCGTTAGGGACATATTACCCTGCTTGAGTTGAAGGAATTCGTTCTCCTTGAAATCCCTTAGAAATTGAGGAAAATATTTGTCCTTCACTTCCTCCTTGAATTGTTCCCAAGTTATTGCCAATTGCTGCTCCGAAGTCCTAGTTTGGGACATCGAATCCCACCAGTGACTTGCATCACCGATAAACATAAACTCCGCGCATTGAACCCTTTGGGCATCAGTGCAGTCTATGAGCCGAAAAATTCATTCTAGTTTACGAAGTCATTCCTCAACTACTAGTGGACCAGATGTTCCATCGAAGGTAGGGGGCTTATGCCTTTGAAATAACTCAACTATCGAGGCGTGAGTTGGAAGAGTAATAGGAACTGGTGGTGTAGGTGGAGCGGGATTTTGATTCAGCCTGCCAAGATCTTAAACCGCTTGCAGGAGATCCCTTATCAAGTTGTTTTGGTTTGCTCGAGACATTTTACTAGAGATAAGATATAATATCTCACATTAACTTCATTTGCCAATACCAGAATACTTCAAAAAATAAGGTAGTCCTCAAATTGATCATAATTTTCCTTTATTAATAGTACTCATTGCAATCAGGACATACAATAGGTCGACAATTTTTTTTTATTTTTTTTCAAAAACATAAAGGAAAAGATATCACAAGGAAATGGAAATCTAAATTTCTAATCCCTATGAATGTTGCGAATCTTCTTCGATGGAGCCTCATCTTCGGAGGAGTCTTCTGTATCAGGCCCTGACTCTAAGTCCATCTCAACCTATGACTTAGGTTCATACTCATGATCATTCTCTAAGTCCAACCCAAAGTCATCATCACGCTCCCATCCGGGATTTTCCTCTGGGTCTGATTCAAACTGAGGTTCGGGCCCGAGCTCACGCTCAACCTCATTATTGGGCTCAATTACTATCTCCGGTTGGGGTTCTAAACTCTCATTCCATCTGTCTAGAAAGGTCTGACAATATATACCAAATTCAATCGTATTTGGGTGCTCTGGATGGTTACCCTCTAGCATCTCATCCTTAATAATGACTCTCATGTTTCCCCATTGAGGTGGAAGTGAATGTATAAGGTTATTTACAGCCTCGATATGCGTGATCTCCAGTCCGGCATCTACAGCTGCCATACATCTCTTGTAGATATCATGTATGTGTTCAACAAGTGGACGAGACGGGTCAGTCACATAGTTCTCATAGGACTGGATGATGGCCCTACGATTTAACACTGCTATACAAACTATGGCCTTTCTAGCGGTCTGATAAGTTCTAGCCATGTCTATCACATAAGTGCCAAATTATGTGTTATCTTCATTAGTGATATCAACTTATACATTATGCTCTTGAGGTTCTAATATGATGGCCAATCATCATTTATTCACGTATATTTAAACAAAATATAATGTACATAGCATATTTCATTCAAAACATCACAAGCATTTTCATAGATTCAAACTTAAATGATTAAAAAAAATCAAAATCATGCTCGAAAAAAATGTGGAACATAATATTTTATTCCATACCTTAGGTTCGTCGGATGAGGTCAACTGATAGACGCAAAATGTCATGGAGTGCCTTAAATGTTTCATTTTTTTCTCATAAATAAAATATACTAAGTCTACAGAATCGACTAAACTCGTGCTCTGATACCATGTTGTAACACCCCGACCCGCATGGACGGAAACGTCACTCAAACCATTGTATCTTAGCGGTAAAGTTAGTTCAATATATTTTTAGTAGAAGGTATAAAGATTATGTAACGCCCCAACCCCTAGTGGACCGGAACACTACTTACTTTACTTAGCTTAACCGGTGTTTAGTAACAAGTATATACGTTTTAGCGGAAGCTTACATCTTCGGATAATAATTTAAATAACAATACTTAAAATACTTTAAACAAAAACATTGAATCATTTTTCAAAACAACAAAATGTAATTTATTTGAAGAAAACATAACTTATTCTCGCATTCTGTGTTATTCAAAACTTTAAAGAAATAACATTGGAAAATATTTCATAAAAATAAATCCAAATCACTTATTCATCGGATTTCCATGGGCTCGTTACATCACTCTTCATCTTCTCCTCCATCTATGCCCGATATGGAATTCCTTCAATCTGTAGAGATATGATTAAACCCGTGAGTTGAAAAAAACAATATGTGTCATATGTGCATTCGTGATCAAGCTATACATTTCAAAACATTAACTTTATAACTTTTCATACATGTCATACTCGGAGGCACCATTTGACATGAAGGGGTATGCCGTACCCGAGGGTACCATTTGACATACGAACATTTCTTCAACATAGAGGGATATACCGTACCGGAGTACCATTTGACATACAACCATTAACATAGAGGGATATGTCGTACCGGAGTACCATTTGACATACAAACATTAACATGAATC